TTTTTCATTTTAGCATGTATATATAACTTTTTTAAAATATATAAAATGTTTTTGTACAACCATAAATAATTTCAATAATACCAATGACGCCATCTGTATCATGTTTTTTCCAACATTTCATGTTTGCTCACAACCTTTCTTTCTTTGGGCCTTACAGATTTTAAGAGGTTGTTGGAAAGGATTTGTGGTGTGTGTGTCAGTTAATGTTTAATGGACGTAACTTGTAAACAGTTAAAGAATGAAGATTAAACTTTGTTTTATTTGTCGATAAATCCAAAGAATACGCCTTCCGTATCCCTTTTGCTCCAATTGTTCGTATGGAATATCATCTAGTTTCGCTACAAGTGGAAATGGTAATTCCATCTATCCGTTATACATAATTGATATTAACATTTCAAGTTCTTCCGTTTCCCTTACACCCATAGAACCAGTCTGTCAGGCAGGAGAATATTTAAAGATACAACACAGTTCAAAATATTAAAAAAACATTCAGTGCATTAATGAAATAAGTTCCAAAATGCCAAAGTATGTAGTAAATGGAAGAAATATGTAATAAATGGTCAAAATTTGTGTCCAAAATAGTTAAAGCATATCTTTTTCCCCTACCGTCCAGTTCTATATACCGAACCAATTGAGAAGAACTGGCAAGAAACTCAATTGAATTACTTTTTTTTTAATCCAGTTTATTTACTATGCATAGTTATTTATATAGGTGTCTATGTCTAACATTAAATGAAAATCCCGAACATGAAAACTATTGCCATTCACGCTCGTCATTCAAGTAATCATTTAGTGAGCAATATGATTTAACAGAAACAACATTATTAAATTTTATTCTAAGAAATTCAGCGATATTCAAGTCTATCTTTCCTCCGCATATTAGGACAAGTCACTAGTAAGCAGAGCTCCGCTTACTATAGTCGTATTTTTAATTAAACGAAGTCAACTGACGTTTACTGTGTTGTCAGTATTTGATGAAATAAAAATAGTGTTGTGACAAAGTGAATCATTGAAAAAACTCCTGAATTAATGGAATTGCCTCGATTGTCTAGTGAATAGTTAGTGTGCCGAACTGCCGATATCGGGTACGGGGTTTGAATTTTAGCCGTGCTTTATACATACCAACGAGTTTACGACGATTATGTTCCTATTGTATCTACCTATACTGAATACCGAGTATTTTAAACGTAAAGAAAAAATTGCGTGGAAACTTTTAAGACTGTCCTATTTACAATTCATCATGTAATTGAAACTATAGATGTATAAAATATAACAATATATAACATAATATAGTTAGGTAATAAAAATAAAAAACTGCGCTTATTACAAAATTTGTTTTTATTCATCATCAGATAAAAAAATCATTGTTGCTTTCAGTGACATTAATTATAAATCTGTCTAAAAATTGATAATAATTTATCTTTGAAACAGTGTTTCGATCCACGTTTCTCCGGAGACTTAAATTGTTCACTTTGTATTATTTTAATACATTGTAGACTGAGGTCACACCAATTCCCAAAATGTCAGCTGTTTTCGAAATACATTTGTTTTTTTGGGAGCCTCAATAGGTAATAGTGAAGCAGCTTTCTCAAATACGTATTTGTAGACGTTTTGTATCATAAGTTTTTCGGTAACGTCTTTCTTGGAGACAAGCTTTGGCTTGACGTGCTTGGTTGAGCATCCATATTGTCTGTATGAAACAATATAGTAAATATACAATATACCCAACAATTACCACAAACACAACATGAGGAAAAACTTAACAAAACAGCGTGAGCAAAAAAAAACATTGGTGCTCTCAGACCAGAGGTTAGAAGCCGAATTACGAACAAAATGGCGACAGACGCTCGCGACGTTGATTTGTGTTGGCACTAGTAGCCGCGCGCTTTGTAATAAGCCGTCAAAAAACTGATTGTAGTTACTAGTAACTTATATCAGATCACTTTTATACAATTTTCTTTTGTAGTTTGAAATGATTAACTATTCTCACTCATTGTTCATTCATCTAACTGAGAACTGAACGCATCACTATTACTTTAAATATGGCAACATTATTTTACAAAGTGACATTAGCTACTGTCAGCTAGCTTCGTCTAATTAAAAATACGACTATAGTGTATTGTCCCAATATTGATAGCAACACTGCTGAGCTGGCAATCTGTGCGAAAGAGATAGAATCCCCTCCTGTGAAATTTCATGCATAGATTCGTTTCGCAATTTATAAACGTAATGAAAAATAAACTTTAATGTATTGACTTTAGAATGAAAGTTCTGCGCCTTCCAGTGCAGTTGCACTTAAATCGTTGTATGCGACGTTCGGACTGTGGCTGTGCGTCTCGTAATGTTTTCTTTATTTTCAATTAATCTGTAGTCACACACACAGTGGTCTCTTGTTATGGAATACTTGTTTTTAATCAATTCATTATTACTGATTATTTTTGATTACGTAGATACAAAAGAGTGTGTTTTCAGTTAACAGTGTTTATTGTGGATTGTAAGCATCACATTAAAAACACGATGTGCACAAACAAATAACAAGGAAATATACTAAATACTAAATTGTCTTACCTCTTATGGAAGCTGCAATGTTATTTTCGGCCACGCTAATTTTATTGCTATGTGGTACCAATGCAGAATACACTGTAAAATGCAACAATGGAACTCAAAAGAGTTTAACCCTTGAGCGTTCGGACGATGATGTGAAGAGTCGTTACATTGTCCAATGGTGCACCGCTGTGGATACTGTAGAATCCGAGTGGAATGTCGCCCTGTCGTATAACACCAATTTAAACAAAGTCAAATGCAGTAGTAGTATAGCTAGACGCTGGAACAAGCACTCTGAGATCCGTGTACCTTTTCATGGAAAAGAAATTAATTGCACAAATGTAAGTACTTTTTACTTTGCTTAAAGTGATCCAGTAATTATGTAAAGTCGTCTGTGGATACCTCTGTATCTATTTCAGTCGCCAAGCAGCTAGATTTGTAATATCTGTTTTGGTTGAAATGTGAGAAAAGTCAGTGAAATTACATTATATGTGGATATGGCATCTTAATTCTCCAGAATGCAAGTGAGTGGTGTCAAGGTCATGTGATTACATCCATGGTTCTGTTCATGTATGTACAAGCATTTGTTACCACTCACCATCATGGAGGCTGTCAACTTTTTTGGCATTCTATTCACATAGAAAATATCTTGATATGATAAAATTATTATTAAAGGTTTTTCATGAATTAATGCTTAACAAATGTACATTGTAATAAAAATGTTTAAGTTAACATAATAGCTTATAAGAAGCGGGCTGTACAATCTTGTCTGCATCAGCACTTCTATATCATCTTTTTTGGCGCCAATTAGCTATATCTATTTAAGGAGGTATGTTTTCATACAATAACCATATGCAGCTGTTATTGTGTGAAGACTTATCTCCTTATTCATAAAAATATATATATATTAATTATTTAAATTAGTAGTTATGTCATATTTTTTTTTAGTTATTTATAATTGCACATGCATATACATTTACATACAATAAATCGACAATACACATGGACTCTGTTTAAAGAGTATGGCAATTTAATTTTAATTCATAAAATATAAGATACTATTTTACTAGCAGAAACTTCATGTACATCACATTAATATAGCCTCTGTGTTATTTTGAGGATAGTATCACTGTAATGTTTCATCAAAATTGGTTCAGTAGTTTTTGCATGACAGTGTAACAAATATCTACCCTTACATCCATACTCAAAAACTTTATAATGTAAATAAGATTGGAGGGGAGGGGATTGTTAGTAATGGGAACTAGTAATTCCCAACCATTGTGATAAATTCCTAGTGAATTTGTCAGGATGGGCTAACTGACCTGACCTTCATATTTATCTTATCATCCACCACTGGTGCTCCGCCCGCATAAACCGTTAGCGCAGGCGGGTGCAACATTTCATTATCATCCAAAAAAAATATATATATGTGACACCCCTGGTGTTTCAGGCGTCCATAGGCTACGGTAACTGTTTACCATCAGATAGGCTGTTTGCTTATACCATGTAGGTGGCACTACATGGTATAAAAAAAAAGATTAAGAAATATGATAATAGTTTTATCATATTTCTTAATCTTTTTTAGTTAATTAATTTCATGAATTAACTTACTTAATTTTACTTTTCTCTAGTGCATTTTTGTCGAATGATTATAGAATAGTTTACTATTATATGCTATAGATGTATGCTGCCATGTCACCAGTATGATGATAAGATGAGAAAAAATTCAACATCGGGTTGTGATCACTGATTAAATTTTTTGTTCTTCGCGATAGCATATGCTGGTGGTTACTATTCTCCCAAATTTGTATTTTAATGACTATGTATTATTACAAACATGTTCCACTATTATTTGAAAAAAAATACAAGCCGAATTTCTTGTCAGTTCTTCTCATCTCGATATCATTCCGAACTGACGGTAGATTTGACATATCATAAGTCTGTAATAGACCTACATGAATAAACATATTTTGAATTGAATACAATTTAATAGTGAATTCATCAAAAATTCTCCATATTTGTTTCCATTGGAGCTATGTAATGATCATTTTGGTACATTGCTAGTAATGGGGCCTGTAGGTCCCATTACTTGCAATAGTCCACTCCAGTCACTCTAAAGCTACCTATAATATACTCAAATAGACTATACAAACATACTTATAGAATAAAGTTCCTGATAATATCAAACAATGTAATGTAAGGCATTTTAGGGCAAAGTTACATGAGTGGCTGATCATAAATAACTTCTACAGTATAACGGATTATTTTATTTTTATTATTATTATTATACATCTCATTTCTGTTAACAATGTTGCTAAATTGACTAAAGCAAGGGTTAATAATGCTTTACAGTTATAATTGTATATTTCTTCACAGGTTTGCTTTATGGCACCATTGGATCTGATATTCAGCAGTTGTTACTTCATACAGAGCTCACTGCCAGAGATGAGCTCACAGAAAACTAATGCTCACCGTTACATATCAAATGAGTATACAATTGCTTCGTTCATAAACCGTAAAATTTATGCTGACGCCATATATCATGAGTGAGTATTGTTTTGGATATTCAATTTTCTTTCCTCTAAGCTGGTGTTTAGGGGGTACGTGCGGCTATCAGTAAAACAAACATACACACACTCTCACAAACTTTAAATATTCTTTATTGCACTTAAATACATTTGTAAGTATATTAATTACAGCTAATGTTAACAAAGGAGGAAACTTTCATATTTATAATTTAGTGTGATTGCAACAATAAGGGGTATGCAAGGTCTGAGATCTAATTTGAATTTGAATTTATAGAGCCTATCAAAACATAGCTTTTTATACCTGAATAGTTTTCAAAATTCTACAAACTTTGAATGTCATATTTAATCAACAGCCTTAAAAATAAGTTTCAAGCTTCTAGCTTAAAAATGAAGATACTTCCATACAACTTTTCTCTCCTTTCTACATCCTCGAACTCTTTTTTGATTTACTGAATAACCTATGACCTTTCTCAGGCTCTAGTCTATCTATGTATTCAATTTCGTTTAAATCAGTTCAGTAGTTTTCACTTGAAACCGAGACAGACATACAGAGTTATTTTTGCATTTATAATATTAGTAAGGATATAATAAAAGGTAGCCATTGATAACATCTTTAAGTTTCTAGTATCAGTAATTGGGGATATTCTTTCTTAAATGAATCGGCTAAAATGTTCACTCCTGCAATGAATCTTATAATTCTTTTCATGCTGACATCGCCTTGACATATTGTGATGAGATATCTCAGAACAATTTACATAGCTCCATCTAGTTCCAAGCTAAACAGAGCTTGTGTTATGAATACTAGACAAATGGTATAAATACTTACATACACTTTTACACACAGACTGATACAAACAATCATACACATGAACAGAAAAGTTTCCACTGTGCAAGGAATCAAACCTATGACCATTGGAAGCTAAGGGGTGTAAGCACTAGATTATAGAGACTATTGTTGTATATAACTGAACTTGAACTTATAGCCTTCCCAAATCTCCTTTGGAAAGTTTACACTCTTTTCCGAGGAGATCAAAACCTTCGCTCTTAAATATCCTTCAATTCTTGTCCCTGACGGGTCTAGGTAGCGAACTCTAAAAGATCTATGTAGTGCTGCAGGTGCTACAGTCACCTGACAATAGCCCAAACAACCCAATAATAAAAAAATAGCCTACCCAAAGGTCCAATCTGTCCCTCTAATAATCCAGTGCCTAACAACCCTCTCTCATTCGCATCATATGATAATAATGAAACATTTAGTCACTGTATTCTAAGAAATGTCTGAAACCTGGATTACAAAAACACAAAGACATATATCCATAGTTAAATATTTGTTTTGATACGTACATACAGTCTTTGTTATGAACAGGCCGGTTTTTCCTCCTGTGAATGGAGTACAACGTTGTCTATCATAATCTGACGATCATTACAACTCTATATGTGCCGTTGGTAAACATAATATGTTCAAGTCATTGTAATTTACCAATATGGAATATTACAATTATTATATACTAGCTGTGGCCGCTGTTTCAGCCGCGTGAAAATAGCCTATGTGTTATTCTGATGTATAAGCTATATTACTGTAAAGTTTCATCAAAATCCGTTGAGTAGTTTTTGCGTGAAATTGTAAGAAATATCCATACATGTAACATGTATATAAAATTAATAAGATATAATTTGTTTGTATGTGTGTTTGTTAGTGACTATAAGACATTGCTTTTGTTTCGTTAAACACATTCTTACAAATAATGTTTTGTACTTATGTTAGTGGGCAATTAGAAGTGATAATATACTAAGCAAATACCAAGTTTAATTATTATTGGTTGAGCCATTAAAGTGCTGAACGATAACAGACAAACAAACATAATTTTAGCTCTATAATATTAATAACTACTAAGACCCATAGCATTTTAATGTAGATACCATGTCAGGACCACTTCTAAATGGTCCTTTATAGAAATTATTAATTCATTCATTCATAATTTAAGAGCTACGCTCTTGTCGGTGGAGCTCTTGCCACTTTCCGCAATCTTCCATCATGCTCTTTAATTCTTGATACGACATTATGATATCAAGAAATTATTAATATTAATATATATTTTTATTTTCATTCGGAAAGCTGTCTTATCACAAGAAGAACAAGCAATAAACTTGCGTGTTGCTCTTTTAAATAATCATTGCAACTTTTTTGTTTTTTAGTGGATGATAATGAAATGATGCACCCGCCTGCGCTAACGGTTTACGCTGGCGGGGCACCAGTGGAGGATGATAAGATGAGCATGAGGTCAGGTCAGTTAGCCCATCGTGATAAGTTCACCGGGAATTTATCACGATGGTTTCCAGGGGGAACCGCGTGGAGGTCAACCTGACATTGCTAACAATGTACCATACATTGTTAGCAATGGGATCATCATCCCCCTCATTCCAACTTTACATTTCCAATTCGAAACGTACTAATACGAACCACCAACTAGCACTAATTTATTAGGGTCAAATATTAAATACACAATAAGATTAAATCAGTCGTAGTGATTAGAGGAAACCAGTCCCTACAAGCAGCACTCGTTCACTAGTATGACCTTTGAGCTAGCCATCACTGCGCTCGACCATATTTTAGGGAGCCCAATGACCCGGCCCACCACTCTAGACATTTTAGTGAGCATGACTACTCATTCCACTCTACCACCTCACAGTGATGGTTTATAAATATTATTTTCGTTTTTACAAATTCCTAGTTTACAATAATTAAACTATATATTAAGAAATACAATGATATGCGCTCGACTAATAAATAGTGTAATTTCTTTTGTTCAACACGATTTTTTTATTCACAAAGGATATGTATAAATGATTTTTTTATGTAATTTCAGCAACATTGTTTCAATTCACTGGCACTTAGGAAATATAACTGCAACAGATTATTTGATGGACCTCTGCCACATCGACAACACGACAGCCAGTGGGGTAACTTATTTATATGTTTTCTTTGGCTAGTAAGCTAGCAATTTGCGGCGGTTTCGCCCGCAGTATAATATATCTACAAGTTTAAGTCAGGAACGTCGATATAACTCACCAGGCGCAAGTTTAATCCGTCATTTTCAATAATTATCGTCATATATCAGAGAATTTATACAGAACCCTAATTATACTAGCTTTTACCCGCGGTTTTGCTCGTATAACTTCATTACTGGCTGAAGTAGCAAATGTTGATATTCTAATTATAAAAAATGATTGTTATTTTTAATAAAAAGTATTCTATGTTCATTCTGATATCTCTAAGAACATGTGTACAAAATTTCATGATGATCGGTTAAGTAGTTTTTGCGTGAAAGTATAACAAACATCCCTACTTTGATATTCATAATATTACTAGCTACTCGCCCCAGGTTCGCACATAATGTAATGAAGTAAGGATTACAATCTTTTTTCTGGTGGATTAAGGACAGACTTTTGCAGTTTGTTGTAAAACCTTAGCTATAAAAAATAATGTATAATAATTTTCAGGAAGGGGACGAGTGTATAACGATAAACAATAACTGCACCATCAGTGGTACCAGAAACAAAAATGGCATCATCTGCACACTTTGGGACCTGAACGGGCAGTACAAGATCCACCTGACTCATCTCACCCCGTGGAAGTCTGGCAGCGTGTTCATTAATCAGGCGTACTCACATTACAAGTTCTGTGAGTATTTTCTATTTTTTTTTATAGACTAGCTGTCCCGGCAAAAGTTGTGTTGCCTTATAAATAAATATTGCTATAAAAAAATAGGGGTTGATGGTAAATGGGTGAAAATTTAGGGTTGTATGTATTTTTTAATGTCACAATTTAAAAAAAATTCAAAAAAGATAAAAAAAGAATCGAGTGAGCCACCCATAACACATAGGGGGTTGGTCTTTCTTTGCTTATTTTGGATGACATGGGGGGTGGGGGAGTCTAGATGATGTTTACGTCATCGGTAGTACGAATTTTTAAAATTTTTTATTAATTTTTACACAAATGGCAACAAAAAAGTCATATATTACAATATGCACTCAGGCGTTCAGGACCCTTGGGTTTGTATTACGACAGGCAAACCAGTTAGATAATATACTGAGTATCAAAATACTATATAATGTCTTCGTACGCAGTAAATTAGAAAGCAACGCAATTATATGGAACCCTCATGAGTCAAAATACATACTCATGGTGGAGAAACTCCAAAAGAAATTTATACGATATATATATCAAAGGCAGTATGGTTATAGGGTAACATACCCTAATATATATCCTACTATGTTTTTGTTGGGGATGGTGGGATATGACACACTCGAAGTAAGACGGAAGATTGCATTATTGGAATATGTAGTCAAAGTCATGAGAGGTGAAAAATGTAACCAAGCGGTATTAACATCGGTGTCCATAAGAGCGCCCAATAATTACGTACAAGCACGAAGACGAAACTTGTTTGATGTTCCACTGAGAAGGACGGAGCTGGCCAAACAGGCTCCTATTTCTCTGGCATTGAGTCTACTCAACGGTGTTGTTAGTCGTTTTCCGGATCTGGACATATTTACTAGTAATTTGCTGGAGTTTCGTAGGATGGCAGTAGATTATTTAAGTAGTATGGAAAAGTAAGATTATTATTATTGTTATTATTTTTTATTTTATTTTTTTCTTGTGTAATTAGTGTATGTATTAGTAACTAGTATGTGTTTTATAAGTGTGTGTATATATATACAATCTTCCTAAGTGGGCATATTGGGAAACTGTAAAGCTCACTTAGTGTGACGTAAATAAATAAATAAATAAATTAATTAATTAATATCCAAAACACAACTGGCACGCTCTGCGCTCGTCGACTGAATGCCGCGGCTCACGCAACGAAAGAGGATTATTCAACTACCGACCTCCGTATTTATAGACCAAAGTCAGTGTAGTAGGTTGGTCTATAAATACTAGATGGCGCTATTTACAATATTCGTAATAATCTTTACATTGGGTATTTCATTAGTACTAAAAACAAACTACCTTGTTTTAATATATTTTTAAAATATAGGACTTTTTCTGCAATAATGATGTGAATTCTAACACTTGGGACTAGGTGGCGCTGTGTGAATTGTCCTAAAAATGCTTTTTACCCATAATATTGCACTCGATGCCTGTTCGCATCGCTGGTCAAAGTTATATGCCTAAAACCCAAGCCCTATTATAGTTAGTATAGAGAAATATATTAATTTTCCTCGTTACAATATGATTGACCTTTTCAATTGACTGGATCTCTGGGTTATCAAGATATGCGAAGTAATGTGTGATTACTCATTAAAATTCCCCTTTCGTATGTATGTACCGTATAAAAGGAAGTGAATTTATAATTATGTATTGCTATCATATGTTTAAAAACTAGTTGACCAGCGAAACGTCGTCTGCAACACACTTACTTGACGTTTAACATTATATTTCTTTCAATTTACATATCTTTTTAAATTATATAGCCTACTAGCTTCTAGCATAACTTCATTACTGGCTGATGGATGGCGCTGAAGTACCAAAATGTTGATATTATATTTTTATGTTTGGGGCTGTTCAAGTATTACGTAAGCAGATTTATGACAATTATTTACCCCCCATCCCCTGTTGTCAGCAAAAGTAAGCAAAGCTCTTACCCCCTCCACCCATGCTTATGTAAACATCTCTCAATTAATGTATTGTTTTTTTAGCAAAGACAATGTGAGGGTTGCCATTCGTGTAAAAAAGTAAATTACGACCGATGACGTAATCATCATACAGACTCCCCCACCCCCATGTCATCCAAAATAAGCAAAGAAAAGACCCCCCGCCCCCCTATAGTGCTTACGTAATACTTGAACGGCCCCTTTTTTAAAAAAAAAATTGTTGTTTTTAAATAAAAAGTAACATATGTTCATTCTAATACCTCCAAGAACATGTGTACAAAATTTCATGATGATCGTTTTAGTAGTTTTTGCGTGAAAGCCTAACAAATATCCCTATTTTCACATCTATACATCTGTTTATATAAATAAAATTGGAGTGTCTGTTTGTAATATTGAAATAACCATTTTTTTCTACATGCATATGTATATATACGGTACATATACCAAAATAAATTTTTTTACAATTTTTGTCTGTCTGTTTGTTTGGGCTAATCTCTGAAATGGCTGGACTGATTTTCACGAAACTTTTTTGTCAGGTAGCTGCTGTAATAAAGAGTAACTTAGACTACTTTTATTTTAGAAAAATAAAGTTTAATTCCACGCGGACGAAGTTGCGGGAACAGGTAGTTTATTAAGGTTGATATCCTGTATCTGTTACGGATATAACAATATGAAACGGTTATTTTTTAATGACGTGGTTATTGCGTTCTGTTATGCCCGAGCCCAGTACAAAGAAAATGCTGAGCCTGAATGATTCCTGATTTACATCGTTATATAAAAACAGTTTAGACAGTTAGTCAAATCAGTCCGCGTCGATAACTCATTGCACTTGCACCTACATAGTTTGGGATAAGTTTGTTAATATAATAACTTGTGAAACCACATTTTCGAAATAAACTATCTGAAATCAAGTGACTTTTGTGTTGTGTTTTAAAAAGGTTTTTTTAAAAAACCAAACGGGGTCAGCCGCCTAACATTGGTGTCAGAAGTGGGATGCTGTGAAAAGATCTCAGGCAGAGATTCACAGCATCAATCGGACTGATACCCCGTAACGAATTTGGCCGACTGTTAGTCTCCACCCCTCGTGTGTGAGCCAGCGCCCCGCAACCACGTCACCTGGGTCGACAGTAAGCCTCAGATCATAAAATCTGAGCCTGCACCCCAACGCTTCAGAAGTTCAGCATTACACCCTGTCTACCAAAACCTGGGACCACATCGATCACCGGCTGCCAGGTCCATTGCAACATCGTGTTCGTGTACCCAGAGCCATACAACACCACGTGTGACGGACTCCACGTGTCACCAGATCAGAAGATATGATAATCATCATAACCCTCCTGTAAGTGCTTTGTGATACTACTATTTCTATATCAGTGAAGTGCCAGTTTAGTGATAATCACGTAATTCAAACCGAACATTACTATTATTAATACTAGATTCTATATAACTGAAACATTTATCTAATATAACCTTATAAAATGGCCACTAAATCGGAGGCCAGTGAGAAAGCAGAGAGGGTGACACTGAGCGTATTAACGAAATTCATAAAGGCCTACAGCGGCGATCGTGAGTCCCTCCCTTCTTTCCTCACAAATTGTGAGAGTGCAATTTCTTTAGCTGCCCCTGAGCAACAGAATATATTATGCAAATATATAATATCACAATTAGAAAGCAAAGCCCAAACGGCTTGTAGTCTTAAGACATTTAAAAACTGGTTAGAATTGAAAGATTTCTTAAGGGTCACGTTCGGCGAGAAAAAGCACTCCACACATTTACTAATCGAACTCCAGGGTTGTAAACAATTACCATCTGAGACTGTAACTCAGTACTCTCTCCGAATCGAAGCCTGTTTAACAAAAATTCAATCGGACATATACTATTCCTGTACTAACAACGACGAGTTACCTGGTAGAGTGGCTGCTATGGAAGAATTAACTTTAAATACATTTATGCTAGGTCTTAATCCTAACTTTAGTTACATTGTGCGGTGTAGGAATCCCAAAACTCTAGGTAAGGCGATTATGCAAGCTACGGAGGAAGAAAAATTATATAATTTAACAAGAGCATCCAACAAAACGCCTAAATATTGCTCTCATTGTAAAAAACAAGGTCATGTAGTTTCAGAGTGCTATTTCAAAAATAGGGATACCAGGATATCCCCATCTTACAAAACTCATCACGTTAATAATTCAAAGATCTATAATTTACATAAACCTATTTCATGTGCATATTGTAAACATATAGGCCACAGCATTAATGAATGTCGCAAGAGACAGTACAATATGCAGCGTCGCCAGAATGAAGGCCAAACGCAACGCGATACGGATTCCCAGGCAGGTGTCAGGCACTATCCCGGAACCGCGCGTGGGAATGTGTCCGGTAACACAAATGCAGTTAATTATTGCGAAATCGATAACGAAAATATTTCAAGTGAAAATTTAAACTAAAATGGACTTCGGTTCCGTGCCGATCGAATTCCTATCATAGGCATCAAGGGCACTACTAAATCTTATACTATATCTCAAAAACCACTGAATCTTAATACTAAATCTTTTACTACATCTCAAAAACCACTGAATCTTACAAATACTAAACCTTTTACTACATCTCAAAAACCACTGAATCTTACAAATACTAAATCTTTTACTACACCTCAAAAACTACCGAATCTTATCAATACTAAATTTTTTTCTACACCTCGAAACCCACTGAATTTTATAAATACTAAATCTTTTACTAAAACCCAAAACTCACAGAATCTTATGAACGCTGAACCTCATACGAAATCTCATTACAAATCTGAAAAACCGCTGAATCCTACGAATTCTAAACTTTGTAAAAATTCATATACTACGCGTCGCTCTGAATCTTATTCTAATCCCCAAATATCATCGAATCGTACACGAACCTACGCTGAAATCTGTGCCAATTCACACTCATTAAAATTACCAATACCTCTGACTAATACATCTTACACAAAGCCTTCTACCATATCTGAATCCTATTTAAATAAAGAAAGTACCA